AAGCAGTATCACAGTAGTCAAGTAAGGGCAATATATAGCAACGATAAAACAAGCGTTTGCAAGAAAGAGGAAGATGTCTACAGTGGGCTTGAAGAGCCCCAAGGATGGAGCTTGTGCGCTTGCAGACATACTGCACATGGGGTGACCACGACAATTTAGAGTCAATAATAACGCCAAGATGCTTATGCTCTTCAACAATGCGAATAGCAACACTTGAAGAAGGAAAACAAAGTGGCAGGGAAGGGGGAGAAGGGGAAATGTACATAGCTGCCGTTTTATCAACGTTTGGCTGCAACTTCCAATCATGCATCCAGGTTATAACTTTCCCAATGCTATCTTGCATGGCTTCGTGCAGGCGTATAGGGCAAGCATTGGAGCAAAGCAGAGCTGTGTCGTCAGCGAAAAGGCTGACACCAGGGGCAGTATCGGGGAGGTCATTAATATACAGGAGAAATAGCAGTGGCCCAAGGATTGAACCCTGGGGGACTCCAGAAGTAACGGGTAAAGGCTCCGATAACACAGTTGAGAGGCGTACAAGCTGATGTCGGTTAGAGAGATACGATGAGAGCCAGCCGATAGCCTTGCCATCAATGCGATATACTGTTCGCAGCTTAGCTAAGAGACCCCTGTGCCAAACAGTGTCGAAGGCCTTTGCGAGATCGAAGAAAACTAAACCAACATGGTTATGGGCGTTCCGGGCGGTGTGGATGTCTTGCACGAGGCGGGTAACCTGGTACCTGGTGGAGTCACCCCGACAAAAGCCCGACTGTGCTGGCGAAAGTGAAATGCGAACATGATCATAAATGATGTCATATACAACACGTTCGCACACTTTTGATAAAGTAGAGAGCAATGAGATAGGGCGATAGTTGCTGGGGGTGGTGCGTGGTCCTCTATTTTTGTAGGTGGCCACGACTACCGCAGTTTTCCACATGGCTGGGAATTTCCCTTCACGAAATGACATATTCAAGATAATTGACACAGGATAGGCAACAGACGGAGCAAGAGCTCTCCAAACTTCGTTGGTAATTCCGTCTTGACCAGGGGACTTGCCAGTTTTCAGATTACGGAGATATTTCCTCACTTGGGCTGTACCAGTCGACAATGATAGGAGGGACGCAGGTATTGAGGGTGAAGGGGTGAGTGGTGGTATAGGCCACGTAGGGTCGTCAGGAAGTCCAAACGACGTAAACTGCGTGTTCAATATGTCTGCTATGTCTGCGGGATCTGTTGCTACCGTGCCGTCTGAAGCTGTCATTGATCGGATCGGCTCCCGACTACAGTTCTTACGGAGATGGCGGAGAAATTGATGGAGACTAGGGCGATCATGGGAAGACAGGGTGGCATGAACCGACTGTACATACTGACGATGGAGGGTACGTGACAAACATTTCACTTCGTTACGCTTGCGCTTAAAGGCAATGAAGTTTTCACTGGTTGGATACTTCCTATAAATGCTATACAAATCTCGCTTCAGTTTCACAGCACACTTGAGGTCCGGAGTGATCCAGGGTCGGGATGCATCCCGCATAGTAGGACGAGGCCTAATGTAGTCTCCTGTCCGCGGAATAACTTTGTAAGGCAACAGATGACGATGGAATGCTGACTGTAGTAAAGCATCAAACAGGACAATGGCATCATCAACATCAGAATGCCGATGAAGTAATGACCAGTCCAACCTAGACAAGTCTTCATTCACAACCTGCCAGACACGGGTAGGCACTTGTTTATACCTGTACTGAGCCTGGGGATGGAGGGACGATTTAGCAGTCGCTTGTGGTGTCGAGCACGATGCATAGTTGAGCGTACAAACAACCTGCAGATGATCAGATGTGCCAAGAGGAGCTGCGTGGTCGACTGAGAGGACATGTTGGGGTTTGTTGGTTACCAACAAGTCAAGACATGAGTTGGCACCCGCTGATGAAGTGTATGTTGGGAAACTCACTAGTTGTTGGAGCCCAAGCATTGAAAAAACTGTCTGTAGGTTGGTACCGGCTGTAGAGGTGGAGTCAGAAGAGCACCAATCATTATGTTTGGCATTAAAATCCCCCGTCAGGAAGAAGTCACACTCGTCATAGCAAGAGGACTGTATAGCATCGACCAGCATATCCGAGAAGAAGGACAATTGTTCCGCCGTTTGGGAAGGGGGTCGATACATGCAACATACAAGAATAGGGTTAGGGGTGCATTGAGACTTAACTTCCACCCAGGTAGATTCACAGCCCTGACGCTGCAGGTCGGGTCTGTGGAGAATATGTTGAAAAGCATCAGTCCGGACAAGCACCGCGACACCACCATATCCTCTAGTGAAAGAGTGTGCATTTCTGTTCTCGTGTGCTGGTCTGTCTCTTCTGAAACAGGAATAGCCCGGTACATGCACGGAAACAGATGGGCACAGCCAGGTCTCCGTGAGGCAAACAATACTTGGCTTAGTGCTCTCCAGAACAATCGAAAGTTCAGCTAATTTATTGACGAGAGACCGACAATTCATGGTTATCAGCGTTAGGTCGGATTCTGATCTGGGGTAGAATGGGGTAGCATGCAAGTTGAGGGAAGACATAGACAACATGATTATGACGAGGAACTATCACCACCACGTTCAGTCACATTGGTACCGTCGGCAAAGCGCCACTTACGGACGGTGTGGCTAATTGTTGCCGGCCAAAATCCTGCACCGAGTATTTTGCTTTCATCCGTCGCTAGGACAGTCAGTCGTGCATATGCTGTGCCAAAGGTCCGGGATTCGCTAATACTGCAATTGAGCACCTCAACCTCACGGTCCTTGCACCAGTCAGTAATTGCGTTAGCGCTACACTCCATGTGGACATTGCCCACGTAGAACACAGATTTCGCGACTTTTTCTACGCCTGTAAGGATGTTGGGGTTAGCTGGGGCCACAGGCTTCACGTACCGGGACGTGACCCGACGCCGTACAACTTCGGCCCAGCCGTCCGAACTGCTTCCCGTATTTTCACTTGTACTTGTTGTAGCCAATGTTGATCTGGTTGGTGCAGCCGGTGGTGTTTCAGTGCGTGATGAGGTCTGGTGTACATGTGTCGATGTTTGGGAAGTGCGGGTACGGTTGGTAGAGTGTGCGTTGGGGGGAGTACGAGTACGAGTGACGGTTTCCCTCACCCCAGCCCCTGTACTACCTGAACTAGCTACACTACTGTACGTTGTACTCGGGGTTGTAGATTGTGCAATCAGGTTTGGACTCCCGCCTTCCTCAAGGTGTATCATCTTCGCCACGAGGCCATCAATGGTTGCTTTCATTTCTCTAACTTCCCTATCCCTGTCCTCCCTGAGGGATACCATTTCCACAGTTAATGCAGTGATAGTCGAGGACAGTGCACTGATAGAGCTCACTAGCGCTGGCATACCTGATTTGCCGATGTCCATGGCGCGAAGTTGAAGTACAAGGTCCGGTCGGGCCAACGAGTCCACACCTGCAAGTCCTGACTTTTTGGCCAAGTCACGAATCTCCCCATCCAGCAGCAAGGCCAGGTCCATATTTGAGTTCTCCACCATTGAGTATTGAGTGTTCTATTTATTTCCGAAATTGGGTTGTCTTTTTGCTTTGACTCTTCCTTCATGGTGTTGTGAAAAAACCCGTTCTCAAGTAGTAGTGGTAGTAGTAGTAGTTGTTGTTGTAGTTGTAGTTGTAGTTGTTGCTGTTGCTGTTGCTGTTGTTGTTGTCGTTGTCGTTGTCGTTGTCGTTGTTGTTGTTGTTGTTGTTGTTGTTGTTGTTGTTGTTGTTGTTGTTGTTGTTGTTGTTGTTGTTGTTGTTGTTGTTGTTGTTGTTGTTGTTGTTGTTGTTGTTGTTGTTGTTGTTGTTGTTGTTGTTGTTGTTGTTGTTGTTGTTGTTGTTGTTGTTGTTGTTGTTGTTGTTGTTGTTGTTGTTGTTGTTGTTGTTGTTGTTGT